TTGGATGGAGGGGCCCGGTTGGAGAAGCAAGGCTGTTGTATGTGGACTGGGTCCCAGCTCACCTCAGGGTTCTGGGAGGGCCTGCTGAGTCTCATGACACCAATGTTATAATTTAAAAACTATAGGAAAAGTAGTCACGCCATACAACAGAGCTCACATGGGAGGTTTATTGGAAGAGGAGGGAGAAGGGGCAGAAAAGGGGACAGAGAAGGAAGGAGGCAGAGAGGGGGCAGAGACCAGTACCTGGGGACAAGAATGGCAGAAGAAAAAGAAGAGAGAGAAGAGAGAGAGGGGAGACAGGAGGTAGAGAAGGACCACCTTTTAAAAGGGGATGTAGTCAATGTGTAGGAGATACTCTTTTTATTTAAACAACCTTTTTTCATTTACCCTCCCTCCCTTCCTCCCTCTCCCCTTACTCCCCTCCCCATTCCCCCATCCACTCCTCAGAGAGGGTGAGGTCTCTCATGGCAAGTCAACAAAGTCTGGCATATCATGTTGAGGCAGGAACAAGGCCCTCCCCCCTGTATCTAGGCTGAGCGAAGTATCCCTCCAAAGAGAATGGGCTCCAAAAAGCCAGTTCATGCACTAGGGATAAATCCCACTGCCAGTGGCCCCACAAAATGCAGAAGCCACATAACTGTCACCAACACTCATAGGGCCTAGTTTGGTCCTATGCAGGTTCCCCAGCTGTCAATCTGAAGTCAGTGAGCTCCCACTGCTAGCTCAGGTCAGCTGTTTCTGTGGGTGTCCCTATCATGGTCTTGACGGCTTTGCTCATTTTCTCACTCCTCCCTCTTTTCGATTGGACTCTGGGAGCTCAGCCTAGTGCTTAGCTGTGGATCACTTCATCTGCTTCCATCAGTTTCTGGATGAAGCTTCTATGATGACATCTAAGATAATCATCAGTCTGACTACAAGGCAAGGCCAGTTCAGGCACCCTCTCCATTATTGCTTAGGGTCTTAGCTGGGGTCCTCATTGTGGATTCCTGGGAATTTCCCTAGTGCCAAGTTTTCCCGCTAATCCCATTGTTATTTTTCCTGGCTAACAGACCTCTGCCGATGTAAATAATCCCAATCAGGCCAAATTAAAAGATACACAGGCTAAATCATTGCCAGCACTCCTGGGTAGCCTCGGGAAAATATGGAGAGGGGAAGAGGGAAAAGGGGAGACCACAGGGAACTGGGAGACTGCGTGTTCATTCTCTGGGGGGCAGTTTAAATAGACCTTCCCTGGGGAGGGGGTCACCGTTTGGCGAACTTTCTTGGAGGTGGAGTTTGTACTGAGGCAACTCCTAAGGAGAGGGAGCTTGGAATGCAGTTTCCCCGCCCGACATTTCAAACTCCTTGTATATATGGATGCCAGAGGGCTGGGGTGAAGCCCCCAGCTAAATACCCATAATGGCTCCCTCTATCAAGACATCTCTTTCTTTGTTCTCCCTCTCTATTCTTCCCCCAACTCGACCATCCCGTTCCCTCACGTTCTCCTACCGGCTTCCCATCTCCCCCGACACTCCCAATTTACTCAGGAGAGCTTGTCCGTTACCCCTTCCCAGGGCATCCATGTACGTCCCTCTTAGGGTTCCAGGAGACACTCTTTGTGGCTGCGGCTGAGGACCCCAAGGACTGGCCAGTACAGATGCCTGAATACCAACACTATTGGTGAGAGACAAGAGTTTACAAGACCCTTGTTTTAAGATGCCAAACTTTTGTCTCATTCAGAAGGTTGAGGTCATTTTGGGAAATTTACCACTTTTATTACCTAGTCTTGGCCCCCCTCCCTATCTATATACCTACCAGGGAGTCTTGTCTAACTCCTAGTTCCTTCCTAGTTTATTAAGACCCCGATTTAAGCCACACACCTTTAATCCCAGCACTCAGGAGGCGGAGGCAGGTGGATCTCTGAGTTCAAGGTCAGCCTGGTCTACAGTCAAGTTCCAGGACAGCCAGAGCTACACACAGAAACCCTGTCTCTCAATCTCCCCCGCATCCTCCCCACACAAAAGAGAGAGACAAAAACAGAAATGAAAAACAAGAGGAGGAGAAGCTGGGTGTGTCGGTGCTAACGTAGAACCCCAGCACTTGAGAGAGGATCAGGAGTTCGAGGTCATTTGTAACACTAGTATTTAAAATAAGGGTCCATGGAGAGGGAGTGGAGGGAGTGGGAGGGTGTTGGGAGGAGGGGCGGAAATGGAAACTTTTATAATTTAATAAAATTACTTTCTAAAAAAATAAAAAATAAAAAAAAAATAAAATAAGGGTCCAGATTTTCAAGGTAACCCTCAGTTGCCTAGCAAATTTGAAGAACAGCATAGCAGGGTATAAAAGACCCTGTTTAAAAACAAACAAAACCCAAGCTAAGCCTGGTGTTTCAGGCCTGTGATCTCAGCTACCTGAGATGCTGAGTAAGGATGGTGGCGAGTTCAAGACCATTAGAGTGACTCAAGGAGGTGTGACGGTTAGCATCTCATTTAACATTTAGACGTACTGTGCCTGAGGGACCAAAAAGCAAAAGTATGCCTTTAATATGTAAAGCCCTAACTTGTACAGGCTGTGCCCTAGCCATCCACTTCCCTTTCTCCCAGATATTAAAGACTATTCTTTTATTTTATTTTTTATTTTTTTATTTTATTTTTGTACACAGTGTTCAGCCTCCATGCATGCCTGCAGGCCAGAACAGGGCACCAGAGCACCAGATCTCATTACAGTTACAGGTGGTTGTGAGCCACCATGCGGTTGCTGGGAATTGAACTCAGGACCTCCAGAAGAGCAGTCAGTGCTCTTAACCTCTGAGCCATCTCTCCAGCCCCGTTTTTGTTTTGTTTTTTTAATTTATGATTTATTTATCTTTTTTATTTTATGTGCATTGGTGTGAAGGTGTCAGGTCCCCTGGAACTGGATTTTCAGACAGTTATGAGCTGCTATGGGTCCTCTGGAAGAGCAGTCAGTGCTTTTAACCGCTGAGCCATTTCTCCAGCTCCCCGTTTCTGGTTTTTTGAGACAGGATTTCTCTGTGTAGTCTTGGCTGTCCTAGAACTCACCCTGTAGACCAGGCTGGCCCAGGTTGGCCTTAAACTCACAGAGATCCAACTGCCTCTGCCTCCGGAGTACTGGGGTTAAAGGCATGCACCACCACCGCCTGGCAAAGACTGTTTTTAAAGTGATGGATCTTGACTGTTCTGCCAAGACAGTGGGTCATAAGACTAACTGCTACTTCTGCTTTTGTAATCAAACTTGCTCACTCTGCTAAAAAAGATGATGAGGGCAACTGTAAGATATATGTTAAAATTAGACCCTGTCTACTTGTAGGTAGAATACATAAAACCTTGTGGTTTTGCATTTAGAAGCCTTGGGCTGATGTGGCTAGGGGCTGCATCTTGGGAGTGCTCTTGGACAATAGTACCTAAATACAAAGGCTCTTTTTATTAAAATTTATTTATGGTCATGGTGAACTTCTGAGTAACCCTAGACCTATAACAGAGGCTCTGTGTCAAAGGGGCCTGCCTGAGAGGTTGTTTAACTGTAAAGGTGCTTGTCACCAAGCCTAAAGACATGAAGATTTCCAGAGCACACAGTGCAAGGAGAGAACCAACTCTAAGCTGTCCTGTTGGCCTTTACCCTCCTCCACATGGGAGGTTGTGGCACACACTAGGCACTAGGTTAGTAATTCTCTCTCTCTCTCTCCCTCCCTTCCTTTTTGCAATTCTGAGTTTTCTCTCTCTCCTTCACTGGGCAACTCTCTCACTAGACACTCTCTTTTTCATACACACACAATAAATAGATAAATGTAATTAAAACTTGCATGCGAGTGAGGTCACACACACACACTCTGGGAAAAAAGACACACATGTTTTGTTTTTTATTGATTTTTATTGAGCTCTACATTTTTCTCTGCTCCCCTCCCTGGCTCTCCCCTCCCCTTCAACCCTCTCCCAAGGTTCCCATGCTCCCAATTTACTAAGGAGATCTTATAAAAGTCACACCTGTAAAGATAACCGTCACAGGTCACCCACACACAGCTAAAAAGGGGGACATAGCTAATTCTATCACAAGATAGAAATCCAACCCCACAAAGCATGTTACAGGAAAGACCACATGTCACCGTCAGACACTGAGAGGATGATCAGAATGATTGTGGGCCCTGAGGAGAAAAATCACTTTGGGTCTGGGAAATTGCACATGGGTTTCTAGGACATTTATAGTTGTAGCATTATTGCAAAGCCATTTTCATTGGTGGCATCAACTGCTAAGAGCCAATAAAAGGCCGATGTAAGTTTACAAAGGGAAACCCTCTCAGTACTCAGAGTCGAGCACCTTTTAGAAGCAGACACTGGATGGTTAGCGCATTCTCCTTTCGAAGGACAATGTAGGTGCTGCTTTGACGGAATAACCAATTATCATTTTTCAGGAATAATTTTACAGTTACATCCCCCTTTTTTCTATTTTTAATCTTCTGTTCAAAACAGAGCAACTCCAATAGAAATAATATCCAAGACACCCAGTAACAATATATTCTAGATCATTCTACACAAACACACAAGTAGAACCACACCTATACAGGTACACAGGCAGTATTCACAGAAATACAGCTACTCTGACACACAAGATCTCACCCATCCACAGAGAACACACAAAGTAACAAGTCGGGATAGACAGGAGGGCAGGTTGCGCTGGGATCATCCACTAGCGGTCCACTTTTCTCTCCACCGCACACCGTTTGCCGATTTCTCAAGGTTCAGTCCCCAGGCTTCCTTATTGAACTTTGGGATCCCACCCCTCAGGCCCTTAGCAACTGGATAACCTGGGTGGGCGGAGCAGGAATATAGTTGGCCAATTGGGTTTGTACATTCGTTTTCCGCCCCTTTCTGGTTCGTATTCTTAAAGGGGAAACCTTCCTGAGCCGAGAAGAGCCAGCCTGCGAAGTGGCTGAAGCCCTGTCCCTTTTAAAAGGCAGAGCCATGGAGGGGGGTGGTATTCTGGGAGGAACCAATGAGCAACCATTAGGCCGAGGTCAATCGTGCAGGTCCCGAGCACTGTCTGCTGGAATCAGGTAAGAAGGGTACCGGGTTGGAGAAGGTTGAGCTCCGCTGACGCCCGGCTTTTCCAGGTGGCGGTCGCTGCGCACTCGCCGGCAATATGGCTTTGAGGGGAGTCTCAGTCAGCGCGCGGCTACTGAGTCGCAGGTCCGGCCTGCACTTCCCACGTGTCCCGCGTACGTGGAGCTCGTCGGCACACACTGGTCAGTGTGGGGACCTGGGATGAGGTTGGCGGGGAGACACAAGGACACTTTCTCATTGTGATTTTCTCGCCCTGTGTTTGCAGAAAAGACACAGAGCCCATCGGTCAAATGTAAGAACCTCCTTTCGGGGCTGGAGAGATGGCTCAGAGGTTAAGAGCACCGACTTAGTGCTCTAAGTCCTTCCAGAGGTCCTGAGTTCAATTTATGGTGGCTCACAACCATCTATAATGAGATCTGGCGTCCTCTTATGGCCTGCAGGCATACATGCAGACCTGTATGCATAAGTAAATCTTGAAAAAAAGAAAGAAAAAAGAACCTCCTTTCCCATTAACCCCTATCCAGCTGTTGCCTTGACCTTTGGTGGTCTCTGTGATTGCAAGGGAAGGGAGGCTGGGTTGTGCCCAGGGTCAGAAACGCTACTGGGCTAGAGAAAGGTTATGTTTATCAGACTGTTTTGAAGCCAGCATTCACCTGGAGCGAGATAGGGAGAATGAGTGCAGTTTAGAAATCAGAAAGAGGGCCGGGCCATGGTGACGCATGCCTTTAATCCCAGCACTGGAGAAGCAGAGGCAGGTGAATCTTTGTGAGCTCAAGGCCAGCCTGGGCTAAAGAATGCATTCCAGGACAGCCAGGGCTACACAGAAAAATCCTATCTCGAAAAAATTAAAAATAAGAAATCTGGAAGAGAGAGCAGGAGTCTGGCTGACTCGAGCCCCATGCCCTACTCAGCCTCCCGTCCTGGGTTTGACTGGAGGGACCCACTGGTGCTGGAGGAACAGCTGACCGCCGATGAGAAACTCATCAGAGACACGTTCCGCAACTACTGCCAGGAGCGACTTATGCCTCGAATTGTGCTTGCCAATCGAAATGAAGGTGCCCTGGTGGAGGGTGGGCACCCTGGGCTCCTCAACCACACACTACCTGCTGTAGGGCACACATGCTAGCTCTGTCCCTGGAGTCAGGGACTCTCTTGAGCCGAGAAGGGACTTGACTCTCACACCCATCTCTGCAGTTTTTCACCGGGATATCGTGTATGAGATGGGGGAGCTGGGCGTGCTGGGACCCACCATCAAAGGTAAGGGCATTTCTGTGTATACTCTGCAGTCCTTACTCCCAACATTCCACCCCGGCCCCCTGCCTGGTCCCAGCTGGGCTGAACTTTGGTCATCTTTGATCTACCTGATCCTCTTCTACACCAGGATATGGCTGTGCTGGAGTATCATCAGTGGCCTATGGGCTCCTGACCCGAGAGCTAGAGAGGGTGGACAGCGGCTACAGGTCAATGATGAGTGTTCAGTCCTCCCTCGTCATGCACCCCATCTATACCTATGGGAGCGAGGAGCAGCGGCAGAAGTATCTGCCCCGGCTGGGTAAGCAACTGCTGCCTGGTGGAGGGAAGTCAGCCTGGTCTGGAATGCAGATCCCAGTATACCCACAGCCTGCCTTCTTTCCTACAGACCACCTGTGCCCTTGCCAGGCCTGAGGGCTCAGTTTCCTTGATCCCATGCCATCTTTGTCAGCCTTCTCCTCCTCACCTCCCCTTTGACTTCACCCGTGGCCATCATCATCTTCCCTTGAATTTGTTTTCTGGTCTCCTCATTCCAGTCCAAAGTTGAAAGTCTTAACTGCTAGCTAGGTCCATGCAGCCTGTGAGCAAGCCCAAGACCTTTCCTCTACTTCTCTGGTCACTCAGGTTTTATTTGTAGATAGGGTCTCGCTATGTAACCTTGTTTGGCCTGAAGCTTTGTAGACCAGGCTGGCCTCAAACTAAAAGGTCTACCTTCCTTGGTCTCCTGAGGGAGAGAGAAGAGCTAGGATTAAAGCCATGCATGACGATGCTCATCCCTCTGGCCACTCTTGACTGCTCAGGTACTAGGGATTCTCCAAATAACCGTTACCTTGGTGATTACTCTTCCTCAGGCTGTGTGTGGTGACACAGACCTCTAATCCTCGCACTTCAGAGGCAGAGGCAGGTGGATCTCTGTTCTAGGACTACTAGGTCTACACAGTAAGTTCCAGGACAGCCAGGGTTACATAGTGAGACCTTCTTCTCAAAAACAAAACAAAGAAACAAGAAAAACCCCAAACTTCATATCCTTCTTCCGCTAAACCTTAGTGCCCTTCAAGACACTCTTGCCAACCCCTTCCTTCCTTGCTTGCCTCTCTCACATTATGACAGTGTAATTATGGCCTGGACCACTTCCTCAGCTCAGAGTGCAATGGTGGCAGGAAGTATCTGCCTCAGTGGTGAAGATAATTTAGCAGATGAATGAGACCTGGTAGCCATATGACCCTATCTTGTGCTTGCAGCCAAGGGTGAACTTCTGGGCTGCTTTGGGCTTACAGAGCCCAACCATGGGAGTGACCCAGGTGGCATGGAGACCAGAGCTCGCCACAATCCATCAAACCAGAGCTACACTCTCAATGGGACCAAGACCTGGTGAGGGCCCCAGGTGGTAGTGGGTGACACAGTGTGAGGGGATAGCAGCCAGATCCCTCTATTAACTTTCTGGCCCTCAGGATCACCAACTCACCTGTGGCTGACCTGTTCGTAGTATGGGCTCGGTGTGAGGATAACTGTATTCGGGGCTTTCTGCTGGAGAAGGGAATGCGGGGCCTCTCAGCCCCTAGGATTGAGGGAAAGTTCTCCTTACGTGCCTCGTCTACTGGTATGATCATCATGGAGAACGTGGAGGTGCCCAAGGAGAATGTGCTCCCTAATGTGTCCAGCCTAGCGGTATGTGGTAGACACCTTGGGTACTGGTGGGGTTACCTAAGGGCTTACCTTTCTCACCTTTTCAAGTGGAGAGCAAATATAATGGTCCTTGTGCGAATGGAGCATTGCAGAGTTTGTGGTGCTCCCTGTTCATGGATGTGCTAATTGTACCTCTTGGGTTACCACCTTGCTCATTGGCTCTACCCAAGATATATATGGGCCCTGGGCCACTTTCTACACTGCTTGTCTGAGCAGCTTCCTGTCTCCTGCCAGCTTTATGCATACTGAGCACTGAGGTCAGGCCCCATGCTATACAGGACTACGTGCACATAGAATGGAACAGCACTGAATAAGGCTTGCTGCATCCCAGTAAATGCAGATTCCCTTATTTGGGACATTTGGAAGGGGATTTTCTTTCACAGTTGGTTCTTCCCAGATCATCAGCTGACTGAGACCTCTTGTCAATCTTATAGGGTCCTTTTGGCTGCCTTAACACTGCCCGATATGGCATCACATGGGGTGTGTTGGGAGCTGCTGAGTTCTGTTTGCACACAGCCCGGCAATACGCCCTGGACAGGTGTGTGGAGGGTCTTGGAGTTCACCTTGTTCCCCAACAGTGACTTCCCCAGCACCCAAGTTTAAGTTCTCTGTTCTGAGCTGGCTCAGGACATCCTGAGCAGTTAAAATGTTGAGCCAATAGCAGGGTCATCATAAATCGGGAAGCCTCTTGAACTATACAGGCCCTCATTTGACCTTGCCTGTTCTAGGATCCAGTTTGGTGTCCCCTTGGCCAGGAACCAGCTGATTCAGAAGAAGCTGGCAGATATGCTCACCGAGATCACACTGGGCCTCCACGCTTGTTTGCAGCTTGGTCGTTTAAAGGATCAGGACAAGTAGGGTTTATACTCTATGATTGAATCCTGGGCCCCTTCTGCGGTCCTTCCCAGCTAATGGCCCCAGGGACACAATCTTCTCTCTTGGTTTAGATGGGCTAAATCAGGGACAGCCTTGCCAGTTGGACATGTGCTCCATCTGTTGGGTGTGACCAGTACATGAGACCCAATGTTTATAACATATGTGCCACTCCCAGGGCTACCCCAGAAATGGTCTCCCTGCTGAAGAGAAATAACTGTGGAAAAGCCCTGGACATTGCCCGCCAGGCACGAGACATCCTGGGAGGAAACGGGATTTCTGATGAGTACCATGTGATCCGGCATGCAATGAATCTGGAGGCAGTGAACACTTATGAAGGTTAGAGCTGGACCCTGGGCTTGGGGAAGAGGGTATCACAGTGGTCTGGGGGAGGGAGACAGCAGTAAGGAGCCAGAATAGCACAGCTCTACCCTCTAGCTGTCACCAAGTGACTATCAAGCCCTACCCTCCTATCCCTTACCTAGAGTTACTTCATAGATATTGTGGGAGTAAATATATAAGGGAGTGACTGCATGACTTGAGAGATCTCAATGAGCACTCTGAGATGCTCCTGGCCCTTGTTCTCATCGGGGCACGGAAGGAGACACAGTCCTAGAACCAAAGTGCCAAGAGATGGGCATGGTTCCTGGTGGTGGGTGTGAGGAAGAGAACAGCACACTGTAACTGTATCACAACTTTGTTCAGAGAAAAAGTTGTTTGTAGACTATGGGAGTCCCAGAGCTTGTACCCATGGCTTAGGACAAACTTGGAAAAAGATCGAAAAATGATACTGGGGGTGGGGGAAAGGAGGGCTGTAAGAATGGTTCAGTGGGTATAACAGTTGTCATAAAAACATAAGAACCTGAGTTTAAATCCAGAGCCCTTATAAAGCCAGCATAGTAGCATGTGCTATATATAACCCAGTGCTCTTAGGTAAAACGGGAAACTGAGGCACAAATCCCTGGAAGTTCTCAGACCAGTCACCCTGGGTACACATAGTGAACAACAACAACAAAAAGCCCATCTCAAATAAGGACCAAGACCTGAGGCTGTCCACTGGCCTCCAAATGTGTCATGGCAATGTGCACCTACACTCACATATTTTTCACCAATATTTAAAAGGGAGGAATACAATCCAGTGTGATCCATGCACAATGGGGACTCTGGCTTCATGGGTAGGGAGGCTTCTAGACAGAAAAAGCAGAATGTATGGAATATTTTCCCAGCCTCAATAACTGAGGATTTGAACCAAGGGAAAGTCGCATAGTCTTCAGTATTTATCTGAGGCTACTGGATGAAACATTCCAGCAACAGTGAGAGGGAGAAGTGGGTGAGATCCTACAATGTGAGCATGATTTGAGATGGGTCAAACTTGGTCTTTTGAAAGTAAATGGGGACCATTTAACTGTGTAAAAATGGAACTATGGTTTCTGCTGCTGTCCCTAAAGATGGGGTGGAGCAAAGGACCATCCATGTTTTTGCACAGATGATCAGTTTTCCCAATTCTGGAAAAAAGTAGGCCAGAGTAGAAATCAAATCATTTAAACATTTAGTCAACTGTAGGTGTGAATTCAGTGAATTAACTTAAAAGTAGGCCTACAGAAGGGGCTAACCTTGTCACGCTTTGGTAATTAGCACAAAGATCATTGGTGGCTTTTTTGTTGGGTTACAGAACTATAAAAACAAAACAAAACAAACAAACAAAAAACTCAGTATGGTTCAGTGGGCTCTGTGTCTTCTTTCGGTGGCTGTCATTAGGACGGGAGCTTCTTACAGCAGTCAGCATTCACCATCTGCTCTTCTAAAGTGGGGACCTAGGGCAGCACGAGACGTGACTTTAAAGGTCATTTATGAGCTGAAGATTACAAACAAGTTCTAACATTCATCTCACACAGGTACACATGACATTCACGCTCTGATCCTTGGGAGAGCAATTACTGGGATTCAGGCATTCACAGTTGGCAAGTGAACACACTTCAACGCTAGATCCTGGCAGCACCACACATTGCTCTGAGTCTGCTCAAGAAGTGATGGACGGACCCAGCTTTTATGGTGGAAAGTGAGACACTGGTTTGAGACTATGGAAATTTCCTTCTGAGAGATGTTCAGATATGTTCTACAAAAAGAAGATACAATTCTCTGTAGCCTTTTAAAAATGAGATCAGATTTCATCTACCTTGTTTTCAGCTTCTTCTAACTGGGGGAGGAGAGAAAAACAAAGAAGCCAGTAAGTGAAGCGGATCACACCTTGTGAGAAGGTGCTCTAGCGTTTACAATGTGCCTTCCTTCCTGCCTCCATCCCAGGGGCAGTGCCTTCTGTGTTCAACACTGAGCAGATAAGAGAGGAAAATAAAGAGCCTGTGCTTCACTCATTGGGGTTGGTCTGGGTTTACTGGTAACCACAGAGAGGTAGTTGGGGAGCTTCTCATAGGAGGGATGAGCATGCCTGGGGTTGTCTTTCTAGAATAGCTCATAGACTTTGAGCTAGACAGTCTCTGACTGGGAGGGGCACTTTGTACTTTCTTTCATGATACAGCTGATTAATTACACAATAACATGGGTAAGAGTGAGTTCTCAGTCCAGACTGTGTGACTTGGGACCCCCAGAAGGTGACAGAGCACCAAGGGCTTTTGGAGGGACTGTAACCCTGTGGGCTAGGACTGGCAGTATAGAGCTTAGCAACAGTCCTGTTTCCTAGAGTTAGGGTGGCTATCAGTGGCAGAGCACTTGTCTGGCACATGCAAATCCATGTGCCCCGGATGTCATTCCCAGCAATACAGGGAAAAAGGAAGAGGTCTGGTTCCTGTTCATATGTACTCTCAGCTGAGTCATTCCAGGTCTCTTTCCTCACAGGATACCTCTGAACTCTTACCTCAGACTGGACACATAGGTCCTTGTACACAGTTTCCACAGTTTGGCAGACTTGTTTGAGCTCCATTTCTAGAAGGCTGATCTTTGTCATCTTCTGAGTGAATTCTTGGAGTCTTTCCTGAATGATCTTGCTGTGGTTGCTGTACACCTGGTACATCCTCTCCTCCAATTTCTCTGTCAGATCCGAGACCTTTTAGAGAGTAACAAGGAATTGTACTCACTGTAGGCAAAATTTTGCTTATGCGTTACTTCTTTAGAGACATGGCCCTGCCTGTACCCAGGCTGGTCTTGCTTGAACTCATCAGTCTTCCTGTCTCACACTCCTTAGTGCTGGGATTACATGCACACAGGTGCACACCACTAGTCTCAGTTCTTTTGTTTCAGATCATCAGTCTCACAGTCATGACTGGCCTTGAACCTGCTATGCAGCTGAGGCTGGTTTTGAATGGAACCTAGTGCTTCTACCTCCCAGGTGTGGGAATTATAAGGATGTGCCACATGCCTAGCTTCTTTTTTTTTTAACTTTTTTTTAAAAAAAATTTTATTCATTATGTATACAGTGCTCTACATGCATGTAGGCCTGTAGGCCAGAAGAGGGCACAAATCTCGTTACAGATGGTTGTGAGCCACCATGTAGTTGCTGTGAATTGAACTCAGGACCTTTGGAAGAGCAGGCAGAGCTCTTAACCACTGAGCCATCTCTCCAACCCTAGCTTCTTTTATTTATTAAAACAAGATATAAATGTGTGTTCAGTTAGTTCGTCATCTTCAATTTAGGAATGATTAAAAATCAACAGGCGAGCTGGCGAGATGGCTCAGAGATTAAGAGCACTGGCTGTTCTTCCAGAGGTCCTGAGTTCAATTCCCAGCAACCACATGGGTGCTCACATTCATTTATAATGAGATCTGTAGACATACATGCAGGCGCAACACTGCATACATAATAAATAAATAAATAAATAAAACTTTTTTAAAAAATCAACAAGAAAAGTTAAATCTGTAGGAAATCAGGTGTAGTGGTACAAATCTGTTATCCTAGCCCTTGGGTATAGAGGCAGGAGGGAGGGTCTCCTGGGGCTATACATTGAGTTCCAGGTCATCTAGAGTTACATAGCAAGATTCTGCCTCAAAACCCCAAAATAAAATGTACAGAAAGACATGTTTTGGTTCTATGCAAACACTACCTCATTTGAATGAGAGACCTGAACACCATCTGTAAAGACCAGCATCCATGGAGTTCTGGAACCAGTCCTCTTTCTGATACTAAGAAAAGACTATCTGTATTTAAAAATAGAAAAGGTGTGATTGAGAGCCCAGAACCAGTGCAGTTCATGGCTCTGCTGGCTGTACATTCTCAAGCAGCACCAGGCACAGCCATTCCAGCAAGCATACCTCAAGGGATGAGGAGCTCTATGTGTGCTGTAGAACCAACTATCATCCCAGACCACAGCTACTGTCTAAGGACACATGGGTAAGATAGGGCAAGCTACGAACAGGCCTGTAATCCTAGCTACTTAGAAAGCCGAGGCAGGAGCATGACAAGTTCAAGGCCTGGACTACAGAGTGAGTTCAAAGTCAACAGGGTAAGTGACACCCTGCTTCAAAATAAAAAGGCCCAGTATTAGAATACTTATCTAGCATGCTTAAGACTCTAATTGAGTTGGATAGATCTAGGTTCCTGAGCCTGGTTCCCTTATGTCATTTACCATTTTATTTTTAAAGATATGGGTGTTTTGCCTGCTTGTCTGTAATATGCATGTGTAGTGACTAGAGGTCAAAAGAGGACATCTGAGCTACTGGAACTGGAGTTACAGGCAGTTGTTACCCGACATGGGTGCTAGGAGTCAAACTCAGTCCTCTGGAAGAGCAGTAAGTGGTCTTAACTGCTGAGCCATTTTGAGCCCCAATTTTTTGTTGTGTTGTTGTTTAATTTTTTTTTTTTTGAGGCAGACTCTCACTATGTAGCATAGCTGGCATGAAACTCATTATGTTTGCTGGGCAGTGGATGGCGTACACCTTTAATTCCAGCACTTAGGAGGCAGAGGCAGGTAGATCTCTGAGTTTGAGGCCAGTCTGGTCTACAGAGTGAGTTTCAGAACAGCTAAGTCTATACAGTGAAACCCTGTCTCAAAAAACTTGGAAGGAAGGAGAGGAAGGGAGGGAAGGAAGGAAAGAAAAAGAAAGAGAAAGAGGAGAGAGAGAAACTCACTATGTAGACCACGCTGGCCTTGAATGCACAGAGATTTGCCTGCCTCCCTTCCTAACTACTGGGGTTAAAGGCAGAACTACCATATCTGGTTTGACCACTTTAAAAATTGCATATGTGGCTGGGCGGCGGTGGTGCACACTTTTAATCCAAGTCAGAGGCAGACAAATCTCAGTGAGTTCGAGGTCAGTCAGGACTGTTATACCCTGTCTTGAAAACGAAAAGAAAAATTGTGTGTGTAAATAGGTATCAAACCAATAGCTGTTTTCAGGTTAGACAAATGCTCTACCACTAAGCAACACACTCATCCAAAATCATTCATTTCTGAGCCTTAGTTTTCTCATTTATGATATGGGCCCAATCTATTGACTGTTCTAGAATAAAATGAGAACTGTGTGCAGAGCATCTTGCAGGGTCCCTGGAACCTAACAGATGTCAGACCATAGGTTCTTCCTTCCCTTTGAGAGATTCTGTCACCTTCTTCTTGAGGTTGTCCCTGAAGGTGGTCATGAGTGCATGGTCCTTCTGCCTGCTCTCATTGATGTTTTCAATCAGTTCCTGGGCTTTCTTCTTCAGGATTTCAATGCTAGACTCCAGGGAGGAGAAGGGTCCTGGCAGCTGGTAGTTGGCACTGAAGTGGAGATATAAGGGTTAAACTCTGACTTCTGAAAGTACTGAAAGTAGCATCATGTTCTTCAAAAAGTGGTTGACCTGAGGTTGGAGCTCAGTGGTAGAACATGTGCTTATCACAATTGAGTACCATATACACACACGCATGGGGGCCAGGGAGAACGTGATCTAATTAAGCTGTATGGTATGAGTGCGAACTGCTGACTTTGTGGGTGACACTCAACAATTTCCCTATTTCATTTGTACCTTGAGACACGGGGCAGCCTCCCAACCCTTGAATAGCCTAGATGAACTAGGGTGTAAGTCTAACATGCCTGCAGTTCCAGAACACAATCTGTACAGCCCAAAGCCACTGTTCATATGTCTGTATGTATACACCATTGGCTTCTATGAAGTGAGCACTATGGTAGTTTCAATAAGAACCAACCCCCTGGGGTTGCTTATATGTTGAATATTTGGTCCCTAGTTGGTAGAACTATTTGGGGAGAATTAGGAGGTATGGTCTTGGAGGAGGTGTGTCATTGGAGTTGAGGTTTCCAAAGACCAGCACCATTCCCAGTATGCCGTCTCTGCTTCCTATTTGTGGATTGAGATGTGAACTCTCAGCTGCTACTACAGCCACATGCCTGCCTGCCACCATGTATAACCTCTGTGGCTCTACACTACTGTGTGCTTGTCATGTATGATCAGAAACCTCAGAGGACTGTGCACTGGTTGCCTCTGTAACTCTAGCATGCAGTTGTCCATAGCCCATTTTGTTGTTGGTTTTGAGGCAGTACCTCATTCTTTAGTCCAGGTTGGTTTCAAACTCAAGGCAATACACCTGCCTCAACCTTTCAAGTGCTAGGATTACAGACATGAGTCACTATGCATAACTCCACTGTCTGTTGAATGAATAAATGACACTGTTGTGGAATATTATTTTAAGGTGTGTTACATTTCTTCCTACCGCTTTTGTTTACCATGCAAAAACATGTTCCATTTGTTTGATTAAATAAAATTAACCTGTGGTCAGGAGGTTAAGTCAGCAACTAGCTGACAGGAAGTGGTAGAGAGGGAACCAGGTATAGCAAGTATTCTTAAGTGGGACCTGAGCAGGTCTCGTGGGTTTTTCAGGAGAGGCAAGCTACTTGCAATTCAACCTCTCTGAGCTAGCAGAATTTCATCTCAACCTTTGAATCCTGAGTTCTATAGAGGAGTAGAGATGGAGATAAAGTTTCCCTTTGAAAGAGCCCAGTGTATGAAGGAACAGAATTCCCGCCCACTGCGACCCTTGTGGCCAAACTATAGCTGCTGAGTTGCAGTTGCTGATTAGGATAGCACCTGCTTAAGGGGCAGCCACAGAATTGGGTTAAAAAACAACAGAACACCCACTGACCTATTATCCCACCTCCATACAGAGACTCAGGATTATTGTCTTCCAATGTGTTTACTACAGGACTACTCTAGAAAGGCAGAAACACTACATACAGTGAAGTCAGTTACAGAAAGCATGGGAACTAGGAGGCCAGTCCCTGAACATTTCTAGAAAATGACTTTTGGGGTGAAACAGATGTACAAAGGAGTCTCTGACATCTGAGGCTTCAACCAGTCATCTTTCCAAGTCTGAGCAGGGTGGAGATTCTCTCAAATCCTTGTGTGGTCTGAATGTTTTCGAAGGA